ATTAAGGTATACTTTTCTACTTTTATTTTATGTCTATTTTAGCCTAATTGACTATTAATTATGTTATCTTGGTGAAAAGAAATGAAAACGAAGCAAGTATGAAGTAAAAGTGGTGAATTTTGAGTGATCGATGAATTACACGGGTAAAGACACACCCGTATGGGAGGTCGTGTAACTATCCGACTCAAAGAAAAACACATATCTTCATTACACGGTAAAGACACGCCCATATGGGAGGCCGTGTAACTCGTCGACTCAAAGAAAAATAAATTTCTTTATTACACGGGAAAAGACACGCTTGTATAAGAGACCGTGTAACCGTCCAGGTTGAAAGTTTGCTCAAGAAAAACCCTAAATTTCATTTTTTTTCCTTCTCCATTTTATTCAAGTTCATACATTTACCAAATTCACCCACCATGTTTTGGTCAACCACACAACCTAACCAACATAACCAAGCCAACAAACACATCACAACATAGACACAAGCTTAATCAATTATAATGACATCAATTTAATGAAATAAAGCATTAAAGAAACTTACTTACATAGATATTCCATAATAACAAACAATCATATGCCAACCAAGCATAAGAATACCAACACATCAACACGACACAACATAATTGGAAGCTTAAGTAAGTACATCAATTTTCATGGAAGGATCAACTAAATGGCATAAATAAAAACCCACTTACTTAGCTTAGATATGGTTAGATTTTTTAGCTTTTCTTTCTTTCTTTTCCTTTCCCTTCTTTTGCCTTGTTTTCACTCTTTCTCACTTTGATTTTCTCTTTTTTTTTTGTAAGCTACGGTTTGGACTAAAAAACATAGCGACCATATACTTCACTTCTCTATATATATATATACTTCATTTTCTTGTATTTAATAGGTATAAAAATGTCCCAAAGTACTATGGAAAAGTGTAAAGTGAGGGGTGACAAAAGAGAGCAAGTGGCGGGTTTGTGTGGGTTTGGCTAGTCAAGGTGTGTGAGCTGGCTTTTAACTCATTAATTAGGGTGCTTAAACGTCCTAACTAGGTGCTCACTAGATAATTAACCTAAATAATATCCTTAAACTAGTTTATTTCCATTGAAAATGTCTCTTAAGATAGTTTAGTTCAAGTAACAAACTTACACATTAAATCTGGTTGTACCAAATACATGGCGGGGCACCCTCTTATCAAAGAGCAACGTCCCACTTTTGGAAACCATTAAATCTTATGCTTTTTATATGAGAAACTAGATATATTAAGGTACAATATATACAAAAATTAGGTTAAAATACCCAACACACAAGTTACAAAAAAATTTTAAAGTTTAAGGATCAATCGCCTAACGAGTATTGCATCTAGAATAGTATGTACTAAAATGGGCATAACTTTTTCTATAGCAACCTAATAATCGAAATATTTTACAGAGTGTTAGTTGAGACATAGATAAAAAAACTTTTCTTCTTTAAGGTTCACCCAAAGATTACTCTAAGGTCCTTAAATAGGCCATACAAAATCCGGATAGAATCTAATTCTCAAAAACCTCTACAATTCGAAATTTTCTCTTTAAACCATTCAGCCATTTTCTTGCAAAATTCAGCATTCCCAAACTTTTAACACACATTCCCCACTTGTTTCATATGTTCCAAACTTTTAATTTGCGTGACTTTTGTGATTATCCTTGTGTTTCGATTCTATCTAAATTTGGTTTGATCATATGCGAAGTAATGTGAGGCTGAGCCAAAGCGACACGTGTCCTAAAACACAATCTCTGCACGTTCTTTTCTCCTCTAATTATTTTTTAAAATCCGAACAAAAGAAAAATAATAAAACAAAAAAAAAAATCTGAATTATCTTCTCTCTCGCTTGAAAACTTTGTTGCTGACAGCACCTGCATCTCTACAGCGTTGGTAACAATTCATCCATCATATCAACCATGCATGTAGCATAAGCCTTCCCACTTTAAATCAAGAATTTTATTCCATTAATTCATCACTTACAAATATATATAATCTTCTCTTATCTTACGAGAAGAATAAGATCCAGCAGTTTCAATATCATTTTTTTTTTTTTTTTTTTTTTGTAGTCATTGGAAAGCTAGGGAAAAAAAATACCATCAGCAAGAACAAGATTAGAAGCAGAAACTGAAAGCTCATCATTTTGAAAAATCCACAAAAACCTTTGCATCACAACTGTTGCTGTGTACAGTCAGGAATCAATATGTAAGGTTGATGGGTGGAGTCTATTGGTTCTATTTCACTTAATATTACTTAATTATCATACAATCAACATAAACAATAACGACTACCGCATCGGAAACCACAGCAACAAGCAGCGGCTACTAATGACAACGACAACGCCCAACAACAACAACTGGATTTCCCACTCCAATTCTAAATTTTTATTTTGAGAGAGGTGATGGTGGTTTGCCGGCCGGAGCTTGGAGAAGAAAAGAGATCAATCGGTGACCAGTTGTGTGTGACGGTGAAAAGAGAAAAGGGAAAGAAAGACGATCAAAGATGAGAATTCAGATTATTTATTTATTTATCTATCAATACGTTTTGTCGCATTGGAGAGTCACTTATCCTTTTCATTTTTACTAGAATCTAGAGGTACATCGTGAACAGAAAGTGTGCCATACTTTTTACCGTCCAGCCAACTAATGGATTTGGCTCAGACTACTTTCAGCCTTTTAGGAATTCCCACCACATCATTTTCCATGGACCCTCCAACTGGATGAGAATTTTGACTAACTTTTTTGAGAATGGATTGATACTGGCCTTTTTGATTTTGAGTTTAAAGCGAGGAAGAAAACTTCTCTTCTTTTTTCATGTCCTATCATCAATTTCTCGGTAAGAAATGATCGTTCATTCCGACTCGCCTTAAATCGCCCTTTTTTTATTGAATCCCCGACTCCTTAAATCTTCATGATTCCTATAGGCCAAACCATTCTATTCCGGCGGACGATATACCTAATTTTATGTTGTTTTTTTTCTAAAAAAAAATATTTTTATCCAAAAATAATATGTAATTAAAACCTATTTTAAGGTTGAAGGCCAAGTACAAAAATATCAATCACTACCTATACTATTGGATTCGTATAATTTGTCCCAATAGAAATTGATATTCTAATTTTAATTTTTAATTTGTAATCAAATTTACTAATTTTACTGACGAAAACTGGATAATATGACAGGCACGTAATGGTGAAATAAATGAACATCCATTGCCCTTTTTTCACCCCCTTTCTTTCTTTCTTTCTTTTTTATTTCTCTCTTATCCTCTCTTAGCCTATACTTTTTCCCACCTAAACTACCTAAAATTCCACATGCATGGATTAATCTTCTACCCACCTCTTCTTTAAACTCTATTTCTAGTCTAGTTGGTCGGAAATCACATTCTTTCTACACATGTGGGTTTTTCCCAAAACCGCATTCTGGATGAGCATCAAAATCGCATTCTTCAGAACGGTAGGTAGAACCATAGCTTTAGGTCTCTTTTTTTTGTGCACAAAATTGACAGACAAATTGGCAGTCATTTGGATCAATATAAGCGAGGAAGAGAGGATGTTCGTCATATTCATGCCTTATTTCACGTGGTTCCACCTCCATTTCTCTCTGTCTCTCTCTTAGTAGATCACAAGGAGATTTGAAATAAGGCAAGAGTTATGTACCCAAATTCAATTGAGGTAAAGCTGTCGGATACTGTCTCGAACTGAAAAGCAAATAAAAAATATATTCCCAGTACTAGCAATCAGTATTCAATTTCTCACCTCTTGACCTGCAACCGATCTTTTTACCGAAGGCTACGCATGATCAAATATGGCTGCTATAGTACTGACCAATAAAAAAAATCACGAAACACAGCGATTGCTTATTAATATCGGAGCTCAATGAAGACATCGATCAACTGTTGAAGAATCATTGTTCTTCCTTCTTGCTATGCTATCCATCAAAGGCTACCTGAGAGAGAGCCAAAAACAAAATTAATTAAAGAGACTTAAAGGGAAAAGTGTGTGGTCTGTCACAAAGTAAAAGAAGGAAGAGATGGGTGTAGGATTAATCTATGCACGAGGAAAGCTACTGGCTCCACTTTTTGTGCAGCATCCATGGAGGATAAAGGAAGGCAGAGGTGGGGGTATTTTGTAATTTCATAGGATTATGTTGGTGGGAGAAAAAATAATACTGACGAAAAGATTTACGTGTCTTCTATTTATTCAATCATATCATCATCACAAGTGCTCACAAGTTCAAATTTTATCATTATTATTATTATTTTTTAATTAAGTACAAGATAACATAGATTTCTATACGTTTTAAGCATAAAGGATTTTAATTTGAAAAAGTATGTTAGAAAACCTAACATTTTAAAATTTTGGGTTGAAATATTCTTTTATAAATTGATTTTTTTATTGTTTTTTCCACCTAATTATTATTTAATGTTTTCCTAATTTAGAGCCACCTATTGGATACTGGATTCAAAATTTTTAAGCATATAGGGAAATGCTAATTTTTATCAAAATATTCCTTTGGAAATCAATACAAATCTCATCCAAAAAATGATGAGTGGATCCTAATTTTATAAATTTAATGATTGAATTTAAAATAAATATAAAAAAAAAATGAAAACAATATTTTCTTCCTCATGTAGAACTTTTTTCTCCATTTTAAAAATTTTTAACCCTATTTTGCATTTATAAAGCTAAACTCTTTGGTCATTCCAATTATCTAATCTCAATTCTCAACCTCACAAGAAGCTGTTGCCGAGATTAGAAGAAATAATGAAATATTGTTAAAAAACCAAACCATGAAGAATCTAGTCTTTACATGGAAGAGTACGTAGTGAGTAGAAGCTTGGAGAAAATGCCAAGTTACTTTTATCTCATTTTATTTTAGTTAACTTTATTCTCTCTAGTGATCAGTGGAAGCGTACAGAAAATGTCAACCTGCTTTTTGTCTTATTTTATTTTATTTTCTCCAAGGAAAAGAAAACGCATTAAAAAGAAAAAAAGGGGGCGTCCTCTCTTTCGTGCAAGAAACAAACTCTCTTTTGAGTACGGGGATTCTTCAATCCCATTTACAGACACTTAGAACCATAGAGAGACAGAAATATTCTGAAGAGAAACAGAGACAGAGCAAAGAGATGGTAGGACCTGAGAGGCCACAGTTTGTGCTGTTTGGGTCGTCAATAGTTCAATTTAGCTACGTCAATGAAGGTTGGGGTGCTATTCTTGCTCACATCTATGCTCGTAAGGTAGTACTTTTCCTGTTCTTTTCTTTTCTTTTTTCTTTTGTTTGTTGTTTTTTTCAGTTTTGAATTTCAATAATAGAATAGTAGTTGATTAAACCATAATTCACAAATCACTATCTTGTTAATAAATTATATCTCAACTAATATTGGTAATTTTTTTCGAAAAATATTTGATTTGTTTTTTTAAAAGAATAAAGGACTATCTTCTGTTTTTTTTTTTTTTTTTTGTCATTTATCATAATTTTTGTGGTGTGAGAATTTTGTGAAATGGTATGATCCAAGGACCAATCATGTTGCTGTAATGAGAAACTTAAGCTATTGTAAAGTTTACGTGTGTCAAATCAAATTTCATGTCCATGCTGCTGGGATCCACATTTCTTATCTTTTAGACAGTGCACGAATTAAAATGTATTAGATTTATTTATTTAAAAAAATGTAAATTTACTGGCCCACTAGCCCTAAGGTGTAGCATGCTTTGATTGTTTATTTTTCAAAGTAGAGGTAAGAGTTTTTTTTTTTTCTCTTTCTCTGAGCTCTAAATTTCAAAGTGCAGGTAAATTTTTTTTCACCAGACTTTTTCTTAAAAGTGATGAATTCTAAAGGATAGGAAGTTTGTCCATTTGCATTTAAATGACTAGTTTATATATGTATTGGTGGAAAACTTAAAACCATTTTGAAGAATTACAGAATTATGTAATATTTAATTACCAATAAAAAACATTTCAAATTGTTCTTAAAGTGATTATTGCTTCCATAATAATACTATAAGGATTTTAGTAATTCATCCGTAGGATATAATTTACTCACATAAGCAATTACGGACAACATTCCTAAAATTCCTTTAGCAGAATATCTCTTAAAGATATAGAGTTTTAAAAGGAAAAAAATTTTGAGGAGAGGAGGATTATAGAGAAAATAATTGATTTTGTTCAGTTCAATAGTATCCTATTTATAAATTGTTGATATTTTTTTATAACATACGTGATTATTGAAATTAACTAATTATCGATTAAATTATAAAAGTTATAATCCAACAATCTTAATTGTTGGATTCTAACGAGTATAAAGTCAATTATTATGCTTGTTTGAAAGTTGTTAATAACTATCTGCAACGTGAAAATTAAAAATATAATTAATTAAAATAATTATGAATTTAATTACATTAAGAAATAAAAATAAATTCTTGATCACATGCCTTAAATGCTAGTCTTTAATTATATATATATATAATATTATATACTAATTAACTTAGTTTTCTTTTCAATTCTTTCAACCAAATATTTAAAAGTTTCACTAGAGGCCCACTTTATAACCTCTCTCTTTTTTCCATTCTTTTACAATATGGGATAAAAATCTCATTCAAAAACACTTTCAAATTTCCTCTATAACACATTTAACTTATTATCTAATATAATCCAAGATTTCTAACACACATATATAAAAGAGAATATGGAATTCTTGTAGAATGAATTTCATATAATAAAATAGGTCCGTATTAGTTAGTGGAATTAGTTAGTGTGCTATAATATCTACACTATTATCATTAATTAGTGTACACAAAACCTGAAAATAAGAAATTTTGGGAAGAAAATGTTAATCATGTACTCAAATACTAAAGCTGATCAATGTGTCACGTAGAAGAATTACAAATTTAAGCAGATTTAAATTCTGTTTGATTAATATTACTATTGAAAACAAATTAAAATTAATTGACTTTGTGATGTTTAATCTCTTGCTCATGAACTTATTTTTGGTTTACCAATGGACCTAGGCAGACATAATATTGCGAGGATACTCAGGTTGGAATTCAAGGCGTGCTGTGCAGGTTCTTGACCAAGTTTTTCCAAAGGTGTCTTCTTCTTCTTCTGTCACTTAATGTGAACCAGGGTAGTCCTAATGAATTTGCCAGTTTTTTTTTTTTTTTTATGTCAAACTTGTTATAGTGAAAGCTTGGATGCTGATTTTCTGTTGTTATAAATCAAGGATGCTGCCTTACAACCTTCGTTGGTAATAGTCTATTTTGGGGGTAACGATTCTATCCAACCTCATGCAACCGGCCTTGGTCCTCATGTACCACTTCCTGAATACATTGAAAATACGAGGAAGATTGCTATACATCTCAAGGTAATAAGCAATCACCGTCAAGCACTATTAGACAGAATACTGTATATTTCCCACTTCCTGTGAGGATGCAATTTGGTGTGTTAATGAGGTTGTCTGATTACCTGCAGGGTCTTTCGGAGAAGACTCGCGTCATCTTTCTTACGGCTCCTCCTGTTAGTGAGGAACAAATTCGTGTCCATCTGAGGTGCTATTGCTTACATTCTTTAATTGTCTTTGATTTGTTTTCGGTTTAGAATATATTGACAGCGCTAACGGGGATCCATTGTTTTTTAAACCAGTGATAAAATGGGTATGGTTCGAACAAACGAGTCCTGCCGGATATATTCAGAAGCATGTTTAAAGGTGTGCCGTGAGATGAACCTGAAGGCAGTTGATCTTTGGACTGCAATGCAGCAAATTGATAACTGGGCAACTGTTTGCTTGACGTGAGTTTAGCTTTTACTATTCCAGTTGAAAAAATTGAGAAAAACCAGAGACTAGTTCTGGTTTCAGGCTTTATTAATCAAACTCCAGCCAAATCCATTGGAGTACTCACTCCTATCTTGTGTTGGTCTTTGACACTTGCACTTGTATATAGGGATGGAATCCATTTTGCACCTGAGGGGAGCAAGATAGTGGTCAAGGAGATTCTGAAAGTCATTAAAGAGGCCAACTGGGAACCGAGTCTTCGCTGGAAGGCAATGCCTACAGAATTTTCCGAGGATTCACCGCATGATCCTGTCAGTCCCGAGGGAAAGACTGTCAATATTTCCGAGCCTGATTTGCTAGGAAATTTTCCTTGGGAATAGAACCTAACAATCCCTGTTTCTTTTCTTTTCTTCTTTCAATGGGAGATGCTTCATCCTTGATGTTTAACGATATGGTTCTGAATATACTGGTGACAGCTTGCACTTGTGCTAACCTATTTAACCTATTTTACATAAGCGATGAAATAATTTGATTGTACGAGCACATGCAAAGAACAAGCATATGGTATTTTTCGTTTACAAGCATATTAGGCCTTTCAAGCCTTTTGACACATGGTCTTTCACATTTGCAAGCATGGTTTTAAATTCCAGTTTACATCGCAGTCGCAGATGAATATTGGTATTAACCTATCACAGGCATTATGAAACTTTCATGGCTATTTCATAGGCAAACTATTTAAAACTTAAGTACCTAAAAATCTATAAAAAAAAATTATATACTAAGATTGATATTTAGATTACTTGATACAAAACTATTAATTGTGAATACACAGCATAAATTAACAAAAACAAAATTGACAAGAACCATAACAAAAATAAAGAATAAATCAATTAATAGTTAGGAGGTAAAATTGATATAACTTTCAAAAATTAATAAATGGACAAAAATAGAAAAGAAGCTCAAATAAGAATGAAGAACTTCGGCCGATTTGGTTAGCTTGTCTAATAAAACAAGATGGAGGAGCAGCCATCTCAAACAGATAAAAATAACCTCGATTTTAGTCTTCTGAATGCCTTCATTACAAACATACAATCTATGCAAAAGAACTTAGAAAAAAATAATTATCAGTTCCAAGAATCTTTCAAGTTGATAGAGCTTGGAATGCCTCTGTAAGTCGTAACAAAATCAGAAATTGGTAGGAAGGTAACATATGATGCACGCAGAAGTGAACATTGAACGACTCGTAAGATCTTTTGTTCTCAATGGCTATATTACATCATTGGAAGTTGTACAAATCCATCTATGAGTGTGCTGAGGATACTAGTAGATGCCCAAGCAAGCGTATAACACTAACCGAATAAAGAATAATACATACACACGGGAAAAAAAAACAAGCAGAAACAGTCGTGCCACTACCACTAGCAACCCCAATTAGCTCACAGATTATATCTGCCCACTTTTCAACACCTTTCAACATTAACACAACTGGGCCGTAGATATCCGAATATGAAACAAACTCCAAAACAGATGATACAACTGAATTCCGAAGCCTACAAGGAGGATGCATGCAGTTCCAGTCAAAAACATGCTTACGAGGAAAGTTGGAACCTGCCGCTAGGCTTTTTTCTTCTCCATCCCTGATTTAAAAAAAAAAAAAGAACAGCGACATTTAGATTTGTGATTTTTAATACTATTGATTACCAAAACCGTAGTAGTAGTAATAATGACAAGAAGTCATGGAGGAAGCTACTTACAAAGGCAGCATAATACACAAAAGTCAAACCCGCTAGAACAACAAATGCAATTTGGAACACATTATACCTGTAATGCAATCACCAATATGTCCAACAAGATCATTAGACTGGACAGACAGGGCCAAACCGAATTTTTTTACAAAGGGCAAACAGTGTTTATGGCAGAACTCACTTGTACAAATATTTAATTCCACGAAGTGACTGCAACGTGTGGCCAAAAATTTCTTGAGCTGCAGTTGCTTGAGCATAGTAGCCAAATGCAGTGGCACAGAACTGAATCACACTAAAATTGCAAAGGCCAATATTTTTTTCAGTAATGTTCAGAAATGAAGTATTCTATCACGGAATAACTGCATTCTATTGTTTTAAAATACAGATTAAAGCATTCTCCAAAAATAAAATATATAGAATTAAAGTTGCACCATAGGATGAAGGAAATGAGAGGTAAAGGGCAAGCTTGCATTGTGAAGTTGATTATTGCAAACAATTAAAGACGGGGTAGATAGGTTCATAAACCATTATGTAATAGATTCTCCAAGCCACTAAATGTCAACTAATATGATAAAATTATATGACCACACGCTAGTTATAACCATATCACACATTAGCTTTCAGTAAACAAACCGGAGAATATTTAGAAAATAAGATGTTCAGGGATCAAAGATGCCAACCTAATGGAGCACAGGAGAATGAGTCCCACGTTGAAAAGGAAGGAGTTCATTAGAGTGGCTCCCCACCTGTAACACAAGTCCATTGAATTCACAAGCTATCAAAAAACTGCTGAAATACATATCAACAGAGACATGATAAGATTTAATTTTTATTTATAAAAAGAAGGTTGCCTCCACGGGATTTATTACTTCATGGGATGAATCGTAATGAAAACCAATCTCAGGCCCAGCATCATTGCCCCAGCTATGACTGCAAGCAAAAGGTAGAAGCAGAAGAAAGCAAATGCAGCAGTACCCAGAAGACCTGGCAGAAAACACATCCAAAAGTAAGATTACCGAGTAAAAAGAGGGAAATGGCTAACAAAGAAATACCAGAATAAAAAATTACCCCATATGTCATCCAACTTGATGAAGACCTCATTTAAGAAAGGAGAAAGAGGCGGATCAATCAACAGATATACGATAATATGAGCAACCCAAGCCACTGAAACAATCAACCTAACAAAAAAACAAAAGAGACCAATAAAACATGGTCAGAAACATCAACTACAAATTATCTGTTACTTTTTTCTTATTTTTCAACTTCCACATGAGAGTTTTTCCCTTTTTTTTTAAAGAACAGAATCCTATCTATGCTTCGAAAGGATGCTCTCTACTCATCAGTTATCTAGGATATCAGTCACTATGCACTACTTAATAGTAACTACTACTGTCTCCCATGGAATGGAAAACAGAGAAATTATAAAGGTAATAGAAGAAATAATAAAGCTCTGAATAGTCACACAAGTGGCTGCACTTACCCTAAGGATCCCAATACAAGTTTTGCCAAGTAGCCAAGAACAGTCAAAGCCCAGGCCGTCTCAGCCTGAAAATTACAGAGAAGAACGGTAATGGTAAAATACAGGGAGTCAAAGCAAGGTTCCACTTTAAAGCTAGTCAGGGAGTTAGAATTATCACCTTCTCCCCTTGAGGGTACATCTCTTCTAACAGCTTTACATCTTCTTCCAGCTGAAGCAACTCCTGAAGTGTAAACATGCATGAAATAAAGTCCAATGACCATGACACGGGATCAAATTCAACCGACCAAACCATCAAATTGTTCATAACCAACCGACTTAAATTAAGATCTTCAATTTGTACATGTATTCAAAGGAATTGAAATGCTTCAACAGATGTTCCAGAACATTTTAACAATCATACTAAATCATAGCACAGAAACAAAAATTACTTGATTTATCCCATCTTTTAATTCAAAAAGTAAATAGAATCAACTAAGAATTTTCAAAAAACTCAAGTCTAAATCTAAGCTACTGCTTTAGGGTGAGTAACATAGAATAAAACAGCCACATAGTACTGAGAAAATAATAACAGAAGTTCAAACCCTCCCTCCTTAACAGTATGCTAAGCATGCAATGAACCCACTGCGCAACTATGAAAGAGAAAGACTGATCAAAAGCATGCAGTCCAGGACTTCACAATTACCTTTTCTACTGCTTTAACATTTTTACGCCATTTTCTACCCTTGGCACCACTTCTTTCCTCCTGATGGAGTGCATCAGCTGCTTTCTTCAGTTCTCTTGCTTTTTTACCAAGTTCAGTTGCCTCCTGTAGGATATTAACAACCATCCATAAGCATCCGAGAATACATACACTTTCCCTTACCTATTTAAGGTATGTAGTTCCACACTGCTACTTAGCATGCAAGGAAGAATCAACCTTAATGTACTGTGAGCGAGTGATAACAGCCTTTGGACGCCGGATGAATGAAAAGATAAGTCCCAATGGTAAACAAGCAATCCCAACACCACCAAATATCTGAACAAATGAGAGAGCATATTATATAGCATATTCTCACACAAGGACAGGGCTGAATGGAATTCACACAAAAATGAATTTTTATGGCAGTGGAGTGTTGTCTTCAGAGACTTCTATGTATTTATACATCTACCTATTTTCATCGTGGAACCTTTACCCATATTTCTGCCTAAGCTACCAGCTCTTTTCAAACCATTGATCTTTGATCAAAACATAAATCAGCACTATACTACTTCCAAATTTCATTCCATATGTCAATAAAGGAATTTTCAATAAAATCCGAAGCCAAAAGTGTTCATGATTGATCATACCGCAAAGAGTACAGATCCAACAATTGTAGCAAGAGCAACAACATATTCTGGAAATGTGGCTCGCATGGTCCAAGTTTTCTCTGAGGAAGCATTTGCAAGATATGCAGCGCACTGCAACCAGAAAATCAAAAATGAGAATGAAAAACGAAAACAAAAGAACATGCAAAAGAATAAGTGTTGAAGTTCCTTAATTGCACTATTAAACTGCATTATAAAAATCAAATACAGGAAGAATAATATACTACAATGACAGAGCTAATCAACTTTACAGAAACATAACCTGGCGTGCACCACTTCCAATACATGGTTGACTGTTAGAGAAATCCCAAGTACTAGGAAAAGTAGTTGTGGTTGAAGAGAGATGCCTAACAGTGAAGTCGACTTTTCCAATAACCCCTAATACAACCACAAAAAAACCATAAAATCGATAGCATGTACATTACATCTAAATCAATCGACACAGACACAATCATAACCTACTAAACCACCATCTGATCATGTAAAACACAGAAAGTTTAACTCAAAAACTACGTACGCACACCCATTCAACAAAACCACCATCTTAGCTCTGAATGCTTAAAATTACTATTAATAACAATCATTCTAAATATGCCATAAGAATTTCATTTCGCCAACATAAATCATCATTAAATAGCTCAAAATACTCGGTCTTAAAAAGGCAATGCAACCAACATTTCTCACTGTATAGCATAAATTAGTGAACTGCAAATAAATACTTCATATACCATTCTTTAGCTAAATATTTAAACATGACTCAACTCGACCACCCTGCTGACATACATTTCCATTTTCTTCAATCAAAAACTACTAAACAAAAAACAAAAAATAAAAAACTATACCGTATAAAATGCCAAGCACAAGACCACACACAATAGCCGTCGTTATAACCCACAATAAAGCACTTTTAATCCTTTTAGCAACACTCCTGCAATCCAAAAATAAAAATAAATCAAGCACACAATAAAAATAAAAATTCAATTTATATACAAATTATCTCATAAAATTTCAAATAAAAAAAAACCCTAATCTAAACACCTACTTGTCCTGATCCCCTTCATAGTAAAACATCGCGAAAGGAATAATAAAAAAAACAAGCACAGCATCAACAATGTATACAGCAATCCACAGATCCTTCATTGGCAATGTAAGATTACACGCGCCATTATAAATTGCGTGACGACACGCTTGCCGGTTCGCTACGTCAGCCGGTAACATCAAAATCGAGATAGCGGCAATGGAGAGGCCAAAAACGACGACGAATTTGGGAAAATAAGCTTGATTCTTGTCGTCAGGATGCTGGTAATTGACTAGAAGGTAGACATTGAATAAGAAAACGATGATGCATACTACTATAGCTACGATTACTAATGCTAAATTGAAATCTCCCATTTTTAACGCTTTCTCGATTTGAAATCGAGAAAAAAAACTAGGGTTTCGCAATTTTTTTGAAAGTTTTTCAGATCTGGTTAAAAGAGGGAGGTTTCTTTTTCGGGGTGGGTTGGGCTCCGGGGAGATGGTTTGTGAGTGGCGTGTGAGGAGAAAATGACGGCTTTGTCTTGGATGCAATGGGTTAATGGCGGATGGAAACAGGGTATGTTAAATGTGGGTTTGGGGTTTTGCGTCTTTTTCTATTCTTGAACAGGCTGTCGTGAACAAAGAAGAGACATTTTTTTATTTCGATATATCTTTTGACACTTTTTAAGACAGGTTTGTCCAAGAACGGTTTGCTTGGGTGCTCCGCGGCAATGGAAGCGTGAAATAAGACTTATAACGACGCCGTATTTGGAATTTGAAGCTGATTGACTTTATTAATGGCTTCAAGACCAAAGAAATAAACAAACTTGAAGAGCTACCTCCGTCTATTGTTAATTTTGCAAAACGAGTGTATATTAAACTTGAAGCATTTTGTAAAAAGAAAAATTACAAGTAGTTTTTTTTTAAATTAGAGTGATGCTCTTTCTCAATAAAATTTTATAAAAATAAATTTGAAGAATATACATAATGAAAAATATACATAAACCATTATATTAGAGTGATCTATTATTAGATTATTTATCAAGATCATCATTCATCGATCGTCGTTGTTGTTATCTATTAAGACACCTCAAGTCAAAAGATTAAGATTAATTAATCTTTATTTTATTAGATGTAAAAAATGAAGATAGTTATTTATAAAAAAAATTACGAATTTGAATTTAAAATTATTTTTTTAAATAAGAGTTTTTTTATTTAAAACAATCTATTATTTATTAATTCTAATAGTTATGCGATGGGTTGAAATTAATAGTGGATGGATAAATTTGTTCATTTGTTATCTCATGCCATATGTTTACAAATTGTTAGTGAGCAATCTCCTAGCTTGATTTAACGGTTGGTTTTGTAGCGAGGTGGTCTGGAACATATTTGCACTTTTCTTTAGTTAGTAGCACGCGACAAGATTCTTACCAATAAGCGAAAAGTTATCTGTCATTTAAATGATGATGATACTTATTCTATTTTTGCGAATTTAACGAGAAAACAATCTTGCATATTTTGAGGGAATGTCCGTAAGCTAGCTTGGGGTGGGTGGCCAGGTGGGTTTGTAATGTGAATAAGGCTATCCCTATTTTATTTTTATTTATATTATTATTTATTTATTTATTTTGTGGAAACTTAAGGAATGGATTATTCAAATCTTTCTTGTACAATTCCTGTAGCAAGAGAAATCCTTGGGCATTTGGTTTGCTGGATTTGACGAAATGAGATCATTTTCAACAGCAATTATAAGGTGGATTCTAACTAAAAATTGATTTTTGTAGTTAAGAATGATTCGTTTTTGTTCTCTCATGTCCAATTAATTCATTCTATCTTTTTATTGTTACAATGTTCTTAAAATGCTCATTTTCGTCGTATCTATCGAGAGGAGAATGAATGTACAGATTCACTAGTTAAATACCTCGTAAAACTCGTATGGGCTTCCCAAGACTTTTATCAAATGATATTTGTGAGATTGCCTTTTTTAAAAAGCTTCATTTGCAATTTCTTAAGAATTTACCCTCCTAATTGCAAAAAAAAAAAAAAAATTATGTTTTTGCCTTTTTAATTTTTTTTTCTTATTTGAATATCAAAAATAGTACTTGAACTCAAGATCTTACTTCTCTTTATATATATATATAAAAGAAGAGTATCATCCAGCAGTAAAATACTGCAAATACATTTTTCTTCATTTTAATTAATTTTTTCTTGTGCTATCATGGATTTCTTCTTCTTCTTCTTTTCTTTGTTATTATTATTATTATTATATTTTGGATATGCTAAATAGGTCAAACTTTTCATAAATTTAGTCCATTTGAAAATCAATCTATGAATTTCTAATTTCGGGTTTGACATCCCCTAAACTTTTTTTTTATTTACTCGGTCTTGTAATTTTTAATAAAAAACAATAATCATATAAATAGTTATATGATGTAAAACATTCGTAAAATTTATCTAGAGCTCCTAAAAAAATTTGAGATCATTCTAAATTGTTATCTATTTTTTTATATTTTTAATATTTAGAAAATAAAAGAGTATGCTTTCCCACGTTAAAAAGTCCAAGATTTTTTAGAAAATTGATTGGATTTTTCTCAATATGTAAGCAAAAAGTCAACTCAAAATATCAAAAATTATTATTTTTTTTTAAGATAAGTGATAACTGAAAATCATAAGATTGACTAAATTTCATAAAAAAAAAAAAATTTAGAAATGGTCAAATTTAAAATTAAAAGTTTGGAGAGTGATTTTTAAATGAAATTAGATAAATGAGAGATTTGATCATTTTAGCATTTTAGATATAAGAGTACCACTTGATTTTTTTTTTTTTTTTTTTTTTTGACAAGATGAATTTTTTGTAGTAGAGTACCACTAAATTAATCAGCAAAAAGACTACAATGCATTTTTCTTTATTTCAATATTTAATTAGGGAAATATGAGTGCCTATTTTCAAACTTCCCTTTGGAAAATTCATAGAGGTGAAACTGTTCAAAATCGTGGTAAAATATTCTTATAGACCTATACAATTACAAGACTATCATGCCTTTTAGCATTAGTGAAATTTAATGTTTCCTATCGAAAAGTTCAACTTCAAGCCTTTAATCATCTACCACCCATCACTAGGTTTGGTGGCAAGAATCTACCCTGGAGAATTGAAGGAAAGGAGCTAGCTTGGAGCTTGAATGCATAGAATTAACTTGCCATTGAACTAGCTACATAGTTTTAGGATTTCCATAATACATCACTCATTCTCAGGACTAAAATCATATATTTGTTGTTTCTACTTCTTGTACATATATGCTTGTCTTCTTGAATCTCTACCTGGGTTTAAACTTTAAATACCACCAACATTGAAGAACATATGTATTTCTTTTTTTGAAAAAAAAAAGGGGGGGACCAATTCTCTTTTCTACTAAAATTGCCGAAAAGTTTGAGATAGTTCATGATAGAAAGAAGAAAAAAAAACTCGGAGATTGTTGTCAATTGTGAAGAACCTTTGCTGCGGTAAAATTTCCATGTGTGCAAGGAAACATAATGCATAACTCATAAGCTATTCAGATTCACACACATATAGCTTGTCGATCTTCCCTGTATGACCATGCATGCTATAGTTTCTGGGAATAATTTCAGAAAATCTTTGGATGAATTTAAACCATCCTGTCAGTCGGAAAATTGCTGTTAAAAATAGAATGGGGCAAATACCATTTCTCAAGAAACAGGAATGGGGAAACACCAAAAATAATTAAGAGCAAAACAAGAAGGAAAAATGCAATCACCTATAAGAAACATTTTATGAATTTCTATATTAGCTTGTGTAATATTTCTTTCTACCTACCTAGCTATGTTGATCACACACAAATATATATAATACATGACCAAAGGAACGTATATAACTTGCCTTTCTATTAAAAAATGAAAGAGAAACAAATCTTTTCTTGGCATTAAATTGTATGATACAGAAGAAAATGGCTGGCCTCTATGATTCTGACTTCTCTATGCATTGATCATGATCTTAATTTGTTATATCTTGAGTCTTCTTCGTAGCATGTACCATCCTTTCTTGCAAATACCAACAACTTTCCATCCTTTTTCGATTACAGTCTTGGGTTCATTAGCTTTTTCCTTCGCCTGCACTTCAAGATCCCCCATTTGAATTATGCATTAATGAAGTTTCATGAAACTGTAGAAAAAGTTTTCCCTCATCATTTGCATGACCTCCTAAATTTACGTCCCGTTTTTTGTATTGGCATAGATCCAGTCTGCAGTAGCAATTTCATTTTTTATCCAAAATATATATATACTTTACTAGATTTAGTTTATGCATGGATGGTAGCCTCTGATAATGAGTTAAGCTGTTGAGAAGTTCTGGTTGTCTCTTCCTCTGTTATTGGTGGCTTAAATGACATGCTTTATTTTTAGCATCTTTATGTTTGCCTGTCATGGCTTAGCAAAATTACTTACCTTCAAGCTGTGCGCATTGTCGTTGGTTTCTGCTTGTATTTTATTTCTTGTCCTCAATCCCTCCAGTTTGTTATGAAAACTATACTGAATTAATCTTGACAACAAGAGTAGTTATTCCTTCCTAATTTACATGGAATTTAAAAATAAAATAAAAAACTGATTTACAAACAAAATTTTCATTTGGATTCTCATATTTCAATTGTTTTTTAATCAAACATAGAATTTTCATTGAAGCCAATTTAAGAATAATAAAGACTTTAGTATCATCTATAGACGCCCAAAAATCTCGTAAAAAACAAGTTTCTATCTATTAAAAAGCTATGCTACAAGGAAAGGAAGATTTGCTTTGAGATATGTATTTTTACTCTAAACACTACAAGGAATTTACCAATTGGCGACGGATTTTAGCGACGGCATTCATTCTGTCTCTAATTAGCGACCAATTAACAATGAATTAGTGATCGATATAAAAAGTTGATATTTGCATCTCTTTAGCGACAAATTAGCGATAAGATATTAGCGACGGATTTTTTTTCATTGCAAATTTATGCGGTAAAAAAACGCTACTTTTAGTGACGGATTAGCAACGCATTTCCGTCACTAATTAGCTACGGACGAATATTCGTCACTATTTCGTTACTAATTTGACATGCAACATAGCGACGGAGTGAAATCCTTCGCTAATTTTAGGCTTGTGACAAGAAAATGGAGAAAATTAGCAACGAATAAGTAATCCATAGCAATCCTCCGATTAAAATAGCGACGGAATGAGCATTCTGTCACTATTTTAGGAGGATTTTTTCCCCAAAATGTGCTACTAGCGACAAAATCATCATTCTATCACTAATCGGCGGATTTTGGGGGAATTCTTCCCCCAAAATCCGATACTACCCCCTATAAATAGTCCCTCTCCTTTCACCTTCCCCATTCCTCTCCCTCTCTTCTACCAAATAACCACTCGCTCTACACCATCGAATGACTTTCCAAATTGTTCAACAAAATGAGGTGCTACTTTCTTCCTCAAATTCGGACCGGATCTGTTTTTTCTATCTCTCGGGTAAAACCTTCTCTCTAACTCTTATGTTTTTGTTTAAATTAAATAAATGTTAATAATTTTGTAGATTAATTTTATTATTTGTTAATTGATTAATTATTTGAATGTTGTTATGTTAATTTTTAATTATGTTAAGTTGTATGTTAATTATTAGTGTAAATTTCTTAATTGTTTATTTAATTTTCTTAACTATTAGATTAATGTTGTTTAGTGTTATTTTTTTAGTGATTTTACTTTTTAGGTTAATTTTATGTTAGTGTAAAACTAAAAAAGTTTAATTATGTTAATTTTTTTGGCTAAATATTATTAAAGTAACTTTTTTTTATGTAATTTAGTTTAGGTTCATTTATAGTTAAATTTAAAAAAAATTATTTATGTAATTTAGTTTGAAAATTTAAAAAAAAAAAGAATAAAAATGTATTTGGAAACTAAATATAAATGCTAAAATTTAAGAAACATTTTATTAATTAATAGAATTTGATAAATATTTTATTTAGTTTAATTTATATTTAAATTAATTTTTTGTAATTTTTTGTAATTTATGAAAATTTAAATTCACTTTAGGATTAATTAAATTAAATATAGTTGAATTTATTATTAAATTAGTTAGGAAAATTTAATAAAATAAATTTTTTAGCTTCAAAATATTTAAAATTTCATTTAATTTAAGTAGGAAATGTAATTAGTTCAAAAACTTTAATAAAAATAAAGGTTCTTAGCTTCAAAAATACTTAAATACTTAATTTTAAGTACAAAATGTAATTAGTTAGGAACATTTAATAAAAATAAACATTTTTTACTTCAAAATATTTAAAATTTCATGTAATTAAATTTAGTTGAATTTATTATTAAATTAGTTAGGAAAATTTACTAAAAATAAACATTTTAGCTTCAGAATATTTTAAATTTCATGTAATTAAAAAAAAATTAATTATGTAATTTAGTTTGGAAATTAAAAAAATTGGAATGAAATTGTAATTGGAAAGTAAACATAAACGTTAAAATTTAATAAATATTTTATTAATTAATAGAATTTAATAAATATTTTATTTAGGATTAATTAAATTAAATTTTGTTGAATTTATTATTAAATTAGTTAGGAAAATTTAATAAAAATAAACGTTTGGAAATTAAATTTAGTTGAATCCATTCGGCCCAAACATTTTAAACTTAATACCTAAATTTAAACTTCAATTAATTAATTTTGACTTAGAATAATGTAATTAGATGAGATAGAATGAAAAATCACATTTAAATTGAAAAATTAGCTTCAATTGCCTAAATTAAGGTTTAGGCCCAATAAGGTCGAATTTGGAATCTATACAAATAATTGATTAATTAATGCCTAATTGAGTTAAATTCGATATAATTGAATGAAATTATATGAAAAATTGGTGTTGAAATTAAAAGTAAATGTTTGGTTTAGGCTAGGCTTATTATTCGACCTAAGTAGAAAATGTAAAAAAATAAAACTATACAATAAATCATTGAATCTTATAAAATTAAGTATTTAAGAATTAAGAAATTAAAAAAAATGTAATCATTCCGTAAACAATTATTTAAATATAAATTCAAATTCTAAAAAAAAAAAATTCATAACTAATTTGAGACAATTATACAATTAATATAGATGTTTAATATTTATTTAAAGTTCATAAGAATGATGATAAATAATTGTTTTCATTGGTTGTGTCATTTTTGTAGTAATTACAAAAATGAGATATGATCGACAATGGATGAATATTAGGTTAGTTAACGGATTGTTAAATGATGATTTTGTCAAAGGTGTAGAATAATTTTTAACTTTTGCTATTGAGTATCCCGAATATATGGATGGAACCAAAATTAGGTATCCTTGTAATTTCGGTAAGTTTCGAAATCGAAATTATGAAGAGGTTGAAATGGTAAAATATCATTTATGCCGTAAGGGTTTTATGTTGGGATATTATGATTGGGTACATCATGGTAAATTTGAAAGTAAATGGCATCCGAAAATTATAGGAGTCAATATGTTTCGAAAATTATTATGTAGGCGAACGTACTTTTAGTAACCCCAAAAGCCATATCAAATTATGGTAATGCATGCAACCGGTCCATCCTTTGATTCGTCTAATACGGAGGAGGTTCCTAATCCTAGCGTACGATGTTTTTATGATATGTTGAATGCATCACGTAGAGAGATTTGGCCTAATTGTGATGAGAACTCGTAATTGTCGGCAATTGTTCGAATGCTGAAAAAATTGAATATCATTTTTCAAAGAAATGTTTCAACCGAGTTATGTGAACCGATGAAAGAGTTGATGCCGATTGATAATTGCATGACATGTAATTTTTATGAATCAAAGAAGTCGATTAAGAGGATAGGTTTACCGGTTGAAAAAATTCATTATTGTCGAACCGGTGCATGATTTATTGGAAGGAAGACAATGAATTAGATAAATACAGATTTTGTCAACATCCTCGATATTAAAGTTCTCGTCGAGGATCAAGAAGAGAAAAACTTGTTCCAATTAAGAAAATGTACTACTTCCTTCTAACCCCGTACCCGTAGTGATTGTATGCATCGAATGCGATAGCCGAACACATGACACGGCACATTGAACATGGGGGAGATGATGCGAGAGTAATGCATCATCCTTCGATTCTATTGCATAGCAAATTTTTGATCGGATTAATCTTTCTTTTGCGAGTGAGAGAAGGAACCTCCAATTAGGAGTGTGCATCGATTGTTTTTAACCATTTTGTCAATCCGATGTGCAATATTCCTCGTAGCCTCGTCATTATGACTCCACATAATTTGTCACCATAGATGTGTATGAAGGAGGAATATATGTTCCTAACAGTGATTGTTTGAGGTCCAACAAATCCGAAACATAAATTAAATGTTTACTTGTAGTCTTTCATATCCGAGCTTACTCAATTATGGAAGGTGGGTGTAGTGACCTACAATGTATACAAAAAGCAGAATTTTTATTGAGAGCTACGATTATGTGGACCACCGAGTGACTTTCCCGCATATTCGATGCTCTGTTTGGTTAAAGTACTTGTAGGAAAACAAGTTTATCCTTACTATATGGAAAATTCATATGTTTTAGGAAGGAAGACCTCCTAGTTTGACAACCATCGAAAGTTTTTTCCTAATGATCATCCATATAGAAGAAACAATAAAGCATTCGTCGTCAAAAAAGTTGTTAAATCGAGCCCTCCTTCGATCCGATCTCGAAACGAGAGATGTTATATATAGTAGAATAGTAGGGGTTATTGAAGGTGACGGAAGATGGTGCATATGATCATAATTGTAGAATCTCTCAAGTGTGTGGATGGAGAAAGCAAAGTATTTTTTGGGATTTGCCTTACTACAAATCTCATTTGACATAATTTAGATGTCATGCATATTCAAAAAAATGTGTTTGACAATATTTTTAACACAATCATAAATATATTGGGTAAAACTAAAGACAATGTCAACTCTAGGGAGGACTTGAAAATTTTCTACAAAAAGGCTAGAATTAGCAAAGGATGATACTTCTAAAAAATATGCTAAAGTTGCATTTACTCTATCTAAGCAATAAAAAAAAAATTGCTTGAATTGATAAAACAACTCGGGTTCTCCGATGGATATGTCTCTAAGCTA